AGAGGGAGAGGGAAAAGAAGAGGGAGAGGGAGAGAGAGAGGGAGAGAGAGAGAGAGAAAGTGAGCACATGAGCAGGGGAGAGGCAGAGAGAGAGGGAGACAGAGAGAATCCCAAACAGGTTCTGCTGTCAGTGCAGAGCCTGATATGGAGCTTGAACTCTGAACTCAGAAACTGCAACGTCATGACCTGAGCCTAAACCAAGAGTCAGACACTTAACCCACTGGCCACCCAGGTGCCCCAATTCTACCAAACATTTAAAGAACAGTTAATACCTATTCTTATCAAACTATTCAAAAAACTAGAAAAGGGAGGAAAACTGCCAAATTCATTCTATCATTACCCTGATACCAAAACCAAAGACTCCACTAAAAAAGAGAACTACAGGCCTGTTTCTCTGATGAACATGATTGTAAAAATTCTCAATAAAATACTAGCAAAACAAATCCAACAATACATTAAAAGAATAATTCACCATGATCAAGTGGGATTTATTCCTGGGTTGCAGGCCTGGTTCAATATTTGCAAATCAATCAATGTGGCACATTGCATTAATAAAAGAAAAGGTAAGAACCATATGATCATTTCAATAGATGAGGAAAAAGCATTTGATAAAGTACAACACCCATTCATGATAAAAACTCTCAACACAGTAGGTTTAGAGGGAACATACCTCAACATGATAAAGGTCATATATGCAAAATCCAGAGCTAGAATCATCCTCAATGGCATTTGAAAACTGAGAACTTTTCCTCTCTGATCAGGAACAAGACAGGAATGTCCACTCTCACCACTTTTATTCAAGATGGTACTAGAAGTCCTAGCCATGGAAATCAGACAACAAAAAGAAATAAAAAGCGTCCAAACTGGCAAGGAAGAGGTGAAACTCTCACCATCTGCAGATGATATGATACTATATAGAGAAAACCCAAAAGACTCCACAAAAAAACTGCTAGAACTGATAAAAGAATTCAGTAAAGTTGCAGGATGCAAAATCAATGCACAGAAATCTGCTGCATTTTAGACATAATGAAGGAGCAGAAAGAGAAATTAAGGAATCAGTCCCATTTATTATTACACAAAGACAATAAGATACCTAGGAATAAACCTAACCAAAGAGCTGAAAGACTATAAAACACTGATGAAAGAAACTGAAAATGACACAAAAACGTGGAAAGACTTCCATGTGCATGGGTAAGGACAAATATTGTTAAAATATATATCTATATGTTATATCTATGCTACCAGATATATCTATATATATTTATAGTATATATAGTATATATCTATACTACCAAAAGCAATCTACACATTTAATAGAATCCCTTTCCAAATACCAACAGTATTTTTCACAGAACTAGAACAAGAAACCCTACAATTTGTATGGAACCACAAAAGGCACCAGATAGCCAAAGCAATCCTGAAAAAGAAAAGCAAAGCTGGAGACATCACAATTCTGGACTTCAAGCTATATTACAAAGCTGTAGTAATCAAAACAGTATGGAACTGTCACAAAAATAGACACAATCATCAATAGAATAGAATAGAAAACCCAGAAATGAACCCACAACTGTATGGTCATTTAATCTTTGACAAAGCAGGAAAGAATATCCATTGGGAAAGAGACAGTCTCTTCAACAAATGGTGCTAGGAAAACTGGACAGAGACATGCAGAAGAATGAAACTGGACTACTTTCTTTCACCATGCACCAAATTATACTTAAAATGGATTAAAGACCTAAATGTGAGACCTGAAACCAGAAAGATCCTAGAAGAGAGCATAGGCAGTAATGTCTCTGAGATCAGCCATAGCAACTTCTTTCTACATATGCCTCCTGAGGCAAGGGACACAAAAGCAAAAATAAGCTATTGGGACTTCATCAAAATAAAAAGCTTCTATAGAATGAAGGAAACAATCAACAAAACTAAAAGGCAGCCTATGGAATGGGAGAAGATATTTGCAAATGACATATCTGATAAAAGGTTAGTATCCAAAATATATAAAGAACTTATCAAACTCAACAGCCAAAAAACAATCCAATTTAAAAATGGGAAGATGGGGCGCCTGGGTGGCGCAGTTGGTTAAGCGTCCGACTTCAGCCAGGTCACGATCTCGCGGTCCGGGAGTTCGAGCCCCGCGTCGGGCTCTGGGCTGATGGCTCAGAGCCTGGAGCCTGTTTCCGATTCTGTGTCTCCCTCTCTCTCTGCCCCTCCCCCATTCATGCTCTGTCTCTCTCTGTCCCAAAAATAAATAAAAAACGTTGAAAAAAAAAATTAAAGAAAAAAAAAATAAATAAATAAAAATGGGAAGAACACATGAATAGACATTTTTCCAAAGAAGACATTCAGATGGTCAACAGACACAGGAAAAGATGATTAACATCACTCATTACCAGAGAAATACAAATCAAAGCTACAATGATATATCACCTCACACCTGTCAGAATGGCTAAAATCAACAATACAAGAAACAACAGGCACTGGCGAGGATGTGGAGAAAGGGGAACACTCTTGTACTGTTGGTGGGAATGCAAACTGGTACAGCCACTCTGGAAAACAGCATGGAGGTTCCTCAAAAACTTAGAAATAGAACTCCCCTGTAATCCAGCAGCCACGCTACTAGGTATTTATCCACAGAATACTAATTCAACAGTATATATACTAAAAATACTATTTCAATGGCATATATACACTCCAATGTTTATGGGAGCATTATCTACAATAGCCACATTATGGAAATAGCTCAAGTGTCCACTGACTGATGAGTGGATAAAAAAGATGTGGAGTGTATGTTTGTAAGTATACACACGCGCACACACACACACACACACACACACACACACACACTGGAATATTATTCAGCCATAAAAAAGAATAAAATCTTTCCATTTGCAATGACACAATGGAGCTAGAGAGTATAATGCTAAGTGAAATAAATCACAGAAAGACAAATACCATATAGTTTCACTCGTATGCGGAATTTAAGAAACAAACCAAAGGAGGGGCACCTGGGTGGCTCAGTTGGTTAACTGTCCCACTTTGGCTCAGGTCATGATTTCACAGTTTGTGGGTTCAAGCCCTGTGTTGGGCTCCAGCCCATAGCCTGGAGCCTGCTTTAGATTCTGTATCTCCCTCTCTCTCTGACCCTTCCCTGCTTGCACTCTGTCTCTCTCAAAAATAAGTAAAATGTTAAAAAAAATTTTAAGTAACAAAACAAAGGAGCATAGAGAAAAAAAGAGAGAAGCAAACTAAGAAACAGACTCTTAGCTATAGAGAACTGATGGTTACCAGAATGGAGGTGGGTGGGGGGATGGGTGAAATAAGTGATGGGGACTAATGAGTACCCTTATCATGATGAGCACTAGGTGTTGTATGTAAGTGATGAATCACTATATTGTACACCTGAAACTAATATTACACTGTATGTTAACTAAGTGAAATTTAAATAAATGTTACCGTTGGGGGAAACTGGTCAAAGTGTTAAAAGGATTTCTCTATATTTCTTATAACTACATGAGTCTATAATCATTAATAACAATACCAATTTAAAAAAGAATAAAGAAAAACAAGAATGACACATCCCAGCTTGTGTGCTTCCTCCTTAATAATCCACCCAAAAACCACTAAAGGAGACCAAATATGAAAGCATCCGTGTAAGAGGGCAGAGAGAGGACTAGTGTGGGGTCAGTGCTGAAACAAAACAGGAAGGGCATTTATGCATGGGATAAAGGAGACTAATCAACAGTAAGTACATCTTCTGAGGATAGAAACAAGGATTCTCACTGTTGGAGATATGAGTTACAAATATAGAAAGGGAGAAACTAGGATCATCCCTAAGATATTAGGTGGGAACTGCATATATGGGTTTGAATTCATGATTTTCAACAGAGAGACAGATATAAATAAATATTCATGAAACTACATGCACATTCATTGATGAAACTCTAAGTACATACACACTCCGTAACTATCCACTAACTATGCCTGGAAGTAGTGACACCCCAGGAGCAGTGGGCACTCCTGGTGCCCAGGTCTTGGTCTCCAAACACTATTCTACACTAACAGTCACCAGAAGCTCCTTGGGGGAGTAGCTGATTATAGGGCTCAGGCAGGGGAAGTATTAGATGAACTTGGAATATCTGGGGGTACCAGAAAGTAAAGAAGTGCTCAAAAAATGATCAAGGTTCATCTGGAGGACCAGAAACCACTGAGAAGGGGCTCTCATTGGCCAAATCTGAGACAATTTGAGCACGAAAATAAATACTGATAGTAATGTATTACAACCCATTGAGAAAAAGCAGGAACCTAGGATAGTAATAGGATAATGTAATGAATAAATAAGTGAAAAGAAAGCTCTTCCTTACACATTTGAAATACCAATAAACATAAAAGGAATGGTGGAATTAGTTACCAACTGGCCACCATCACAGCAAGAAATAAAGGATGCTAAAATAAAGGGTAAGAATTCGATGGGGAATGGGGTATTTACATAATATTAAAGTATCTACCATACAATACTCACCATAACAAAGGGAAAAGTAACCTTACTGTGGAGAAGCCTGGCCAACACCACCTAACCAGGAATCAAAGCCAACATCACTAGTAATGGGACAAATTATGGGACAAAGAGACCTAATCTAAATCTAATCACAAGAAAACATCAGACAAACCAAACAGAGTTACTTCCTACAAAATAACTGTTTATAGTCTTCAAAAGCACCCTGGTCCTAAAAACCAAGAACCAACTGAAGGAGCCACCTCTCACCTCTCACCTCTGAAGGTGAGAGGACAGCTGGCAAAGCTCAATGGGGTGGAGGCTCAGACAGCACCATTGCATCCACGTTCATATCCTTTGAGTCAGGGAAGGGACGGATGGCTTGGCAAATCACTCTCAAATATTTCAGAAAAAAGTTCTGTCCTTCCTTTCTGTAAGTTTGAAATGATCTCAAAATAATGAAAAAAGGAGAGTGGTGTTAAGCGTCATGCAGGAGTCAATACCTGACCTGTTTGTTGAGTTCCTCCATTTCAGAGCAGACCTTTTCCTTGTCTCTCTTTAAAATCTCGATTTCCTTCCTATTGGAGAAGCAAAATTAACAATGTCACTGACCAGCCAGTTTCTTTTTCCCATCATTGGGTTCGCAGCCACAAAACAGACACTCACACCTGCTCTGTCACTGTTCTACACTACTGCCGCTGCCCATCCAGTCGGGACCCCAACCCTCGGAACCAGAGGAACACTGCCAATACCGTAAGAACAAAAACCCTCCATGACATTCTTCAGCCACACATAGTAATATCTCTTTAGAAAACATGTGACGAGTCACACTAAGCAGCATAAATAGGACCAAAACAAAACAGCCTTATATCTGCTGGGGTCTGTTGGGAAATGGGCCCTGGCAGCAGATTAGAGAAACAACAGTTTCTAGAGGGGAAAAAAACTTTTAGGGGCGCCTGGGTGGCGCAGTCGGTTAAGCGTCCGACTTCAGCCAGGTCACGATCTCGCAGTCCGTGAGTTCGAGCCCCGCGTCAGGCTCTGGGCTGATGGCTCAGAGCCTGGAGCCTGTTTCCGATGCTGTGTCTCCCTCTCTCTCTGCCCCTCCCCCGTTCATGCTCTGTCTCTCTCTGTCCCCCCAAAAA